AACATTTTCATTAATAATGCAAAAGCAACAGTGAGTAAAACTGCTGGTCCCTTAGCAGAATCAAAGCACGGTGACAAACTGTACTAGCAATTATTCTTCACTGCCATCCATACACATTACTGTTTCAATAAAGAGTTAAAAAACTCTTTATTGAAACAGTAAATATTAATTTTATCAAATCTTCACTGTAAGTTACATATATTTTTAATATTCTGTGTGAAAAAATGAGAATGAATAAAACACTTCTGCAGAACCCTGAAGGCTGATGGTAGTTTTGAAGCAAAGCCCTCATTCAGTTGTTTTAGTTTAGAGCTAGCTGAACTGCCCATTTTTCCATGATATACCATTTTTACTTGAATTTTTGACAGATGTTATTCAGACATGTATATTTGTCAATATTTGTTACAAGCAATGAAATTGAGCTTTAAACAAAAATTAGCACTTTAGAAAACTTGTATCCACCACCATGAGCTTGACTGTTGCCCAATAATTAAAGAATTTTTTGCTGAGGTTGGTGATATTAACAAATGTGGCTTTTTTGATATTCTGCAATGAAATGGGAAATGTGTCATTACTTGGGAGATACACATAACTCAGCAAAACATTATTATTCAAATGCCCGGTGTATTGAGGAAATACCAGAAAGTGACAGGAATATCAGAATAGGTGGTGAAGTACAGCAAGATGAAATCTATGATCAGGCAATGGACTATATCAAGCCAATAGTAGCAGCTAGTGTGGTCCAGGAGATACCAAGCATGGGACAGGAGATAAGAAAGTTACCATGACAAAGACTGTGACCTTGGTGAGAAGAACTAGGGTCCATGGAGAAAACTCAGTTTTAGAAAAATGGATGTATCTGGTCTGATCAGAACAGGATTTAAGAGAAAAGCAATACTATACCTGCATTGTTCGGCCCATCAGCTTGTAAATTCCACTGCAGTTATATGAACAGGAATATCAGAATTTTACCGTTTGTTATTCACATCTATTGACTCAGAACCCAACTCCCCTGCAGAGTCCCTCCAAGTATTTCTGGGCATATGAGGCATCCATATACAATAAGCAATAAGTTCATTTTCGTCTTATATTGTTTTCCAAGATCACCTTGTTTCTCCTCCTTTGCTCTGCTTCAATACTCTAGTTGCTGCCCCTAAGTTCTCAGAGTGTTAAAGCCATGTGGTATATGCTGCCCATAATTGTGTTGACCCCATCAGAAAAGTTTTCTGTTGATTACTTATATCATTAACCTATCTTCCTAGAACCCATTTGGGTACTGAGTCGGGGATGGATTTGAGTTAGCAGCCAACAACCATGCTGTATTTCATTCAAAGACTACTTTTTTGTTAATAGGTTCCTTTACTATGTTTAACCCCTTTTGACATACATTCTCTAACAGAAGCTACTTCAGCTATACTATAAATTTATCACTGTTGGGTAACCTCCAGTCCTTTCAAGCTCGGATATGTATAAATATAGATTTATTTCTTCCCTCAGGTTCCTCATGTCCCTTGCAAAAGGACTTCTATTTGGTTTGTCCCACTAGTTGGCTAGATATACTTATCACTTGTTATTGGAAAAAGGCTCTCTGCCAGATCTTGTTCATTTGATTTCAGAAAACATTGTCGAGTGCCTTTTTTGGTGCCAGGTGCTATGTTTGATTGTAAGAATACAGAGTTTAATAGAATATAGTGCTTTTTAAGAGCTCACCGTTAAATCAGTAAGACTCAAAACACACACAGGAATGTAATACAACATGACCAGTGCTACTGTACAGGTGTGTTCAAAGTACTATGGGAACACAGAAAGGGGAGTAATTGTATTTTTCTGGGAAACATTTGTAAAAAAAAAAATTTGAGCTCAGCTTTAAAGGATAAAAAGTATTTCTTAACATAAAGTCAAGAGAAAGGAAAATAACATTACAGGGAGAGCGAGCAGCAAATTTGAAAGAGGGAAAGCAGAAAAAGGTGTTTTTTAGGGAACTGTACAAAGATCTGCATAGTGTTGGTGTGGTGTGGTTTGCCTTTGGAGGGGATGCCAAGACTTTAGAACCAGTTTGGAGTCAGGTTTTAAAGGGTGTAAAGGACCACTTTTTAAAAAGGGGAAGAGTAAACGATCTTTTTATTCTCTTTATAGAAAGTATTGCAAAATTTTTGTCATAGGAAGAGGCAAATGAAAAATATGCAAACAAAAGTACAGAGAAATGGTATAGAGAATTATACATGTAGTCAGGACAGTTAATTGATAAAGATAGTGTGACTCTAAAATATTGAGTTTTTCATGTATGTAGTAAAATTTTTTGTAAAACTTTCCTTTGTGATAGTTATAGATTTAATAGCAAATTGTGAATTATGGATTCTCAGAAAAATCCTGTGTACCCTTCATACCGTCAAACAGTTACATGCACTAATTAGTGTGTGTGTGTGTTTGCATGTGTGTATATACTTCTGTGTAATTTTATCACACGTGTAGGTCTGTGTGAGCATCACCACAATCAGGTACATGAAAATTTCATCACAAGAATCCCTTGCGCTACTTAAAGGACGTTTTTTTAACATAGTAAGGAGCTTAGACTGTATTATATTGATTGGTGTCTCTCAAAGTGTGGTCTTCAGATGATCTATAACAGAATCACCTAGTGTGCTTGTTAAATATGCAGATTCCTACCCTAGAAACATTGAATTAGAATCTCTGTGTATGCGGTCCTGTGACCTACATTTAAATAAACTCCTCAGGTGCTTCTTATACCATACCTATGAGGAAATGACTTTGAGCTGACACTTGAATGATGAGAAGGAAGTGCACCATGCAAAGACCTACAGCAAGGAGGTCTAGACAAGTGCTGTCCAATAGGGGTATAAGTCATATACGTCCTTTTAGAAATTCTAGTAGCCACATTAAAAAAAGTAAAAAGAAACAAGAGAAATAAATCCTTACAGTATTATTTTACTTAATTCTGTAAATTAAAATATTACTTCAACTTGAAATTAATATAAAAACTATTGAAATATTAGCATTCTTTTTTTCTACTAAGTATTCAAAATTCAGTGTATACTTTACACTTACCGTGCATCTCAGTTCAGATTAGCCACATTTCAGGTGTTCAGTAACACATTTGATGAGTGGCTGTCATATAGGGTAGCATAAATCTAGACAGAGTGAACAGCCAAAACAAAGGCCCTGAAGGAGATTCATATAGAGATGTGTATTTAACATCTGGAAGTTGAAAATACTGGTCTAGAGCTTTGGAACAAGATCAAAACTAGATATATAGATTTAAAAAATCATTTGTATAAAAGAATTGTCACACAGTATAATTTTTAGTGATTTGCAGTGAAGACTTATTAGAATCACCTACTGAGCTTTTTCTAACTACTTGCTTGCACTCCAAGAAGGCACGGAAAAATCTTGGGGGAGGGGTTGGAACGGGGAGGTGTGTATGGTTCTCTGGGAAAAGGAGAACATAGGCAGATACGGAGTTTCTCCATCGCTGATTCTGATATGACTCTTCCCTGCAGTCCCTACTCCTGGCTGAGAACCTTTGGTGGTTAAAAGGGAGATGAGGATAGAAGACACTAAAAATATAGAAATGTGAAGGGAGTGCTTACAGAAGTTAAGGAGGGGGCTTCAACAATGAAGAAAGATACATCAAGCTGGAGGAGGTCAAGACATTTGCAAATTAAGGTATTATTAATAATCATTGAGGACTGGTTTAAATAGTGTAGTCAACGGAGCTAAAATGGGTTCTGAAGATGTCAGTAGAAACAACTATGCCTAGCTACCTGAAGGTCAGCTAGATTGGCTGCAACAAGGGCATGCTGTGCTTTAAATCTGGTTAAGGTCCTCTTTTATAGTCCTTATAGCTATTGAATTTTACTTAATTGTATAGTACAGCTCACTCCTCACCGTGACCACACTATAGAAGCACCTGGGGAACTTTTTAAAGTACTCATTCCTAACTCCCTCCCCATCTCAGGATAAGTCTAGGAGTAGGGCTTTAGCATTATTTTTTTAAAGCTTCCCAAGTGATTCTAATGAGCTAGGGTAGAAAACTGTGGATATATATCATAGTGAACATTACTATGACAGAAAATAAGTTTTATTTATCTTTTTACCACCAGAGTTTTGACTCACTGTGTCGCATATGGTTAGCTCTCAATAAATGTTTGTTGAATGAATGAAAAATGAAAGAGCTAACAAATGAGGAAATGTGGCTAGGGAACAAGTCAGGAGACTCTTATGGGTAGCTTAATAAACGAACATTTCCTTTCTTTATAATGAATAGTTTACCAGGCAAATTACTAAATACACTGCACCTTTCTTTGAATCCTTATTAGTGTAAAACTGTTTTCATAAGTTGGGCCAAATCACAGTATTGATAGAAAACCTCAGGTTTAAAAATAGACCACAAAATTGATAGGGCTATTCTCTAAGTCTTTTTGTTTGACTACACATACCACAAGATATAGTTAACTGTTAACACTGAATACAACATATAAGATAAATATTGCATTCAAGGGATTTTTGCCATCAGTTAATTTAAAGTAAGTTTCAGTGTTCACAAAATTAACTACAACTCAATAATTTCTATTTAAAATTTAATGCTGTGGCTATTCAAAACACCCTATTTACAGGACTATTTATAGTTCTTTATTATGACTCTTTTAAAGCCGCTGTGATAACTTATTTGACTCTTCAGCAGTTGCCTCTTACCATTTTTAGTGAGTAATGGAAAAAATAGACATAAAATGTTCTGCAGAACTAAAATAAGGTGGTAGTCACATAATATAATGCATCATCATAATAGTTAAATGAAATTTTCAGTCCCAGACAGTTTATAGGGTGCTCCTGACCTAAGAGCTGGTAACTAGTGGTACCTCAGTAAAGGATAATTCTCTTATTTCTGCTCCACATGTAGCTAATGCTGTACAGAGGGTTTAGAAAATCAAGTTTAATGTGATATAATTTAACATTCTAAAACTGAGTTAATTTTCCCACAGATGAAAGGAAGTAAAGAAGTGATAACTAAAAATCTTAATCAAGAAGAAATATATATTCTTCGTTGTTGGAAATGTAGAAAATGCATAGCAAGTTCTGGTTGTTTCATGAAATCTCTTGACAATCAAGTGATTAAGGTAAGTATTCTAACTCTAATCTTCACAGTTTCCAGGTGTAGAAATGCTGTGGGCACACCCACATATGACCAGATATCCTTCCATACGTGACTTACCTTTGCTTAATTTTACTGAACCCACTGAAAACATTTCAAAGTGGTATTCAGAAGGCATCCTGCCTTCCACAGTTACAGTTAATTTTACCTTTAGATGCTAATATTAACATGACCTTTAAGGTTTAATTGCAGTATCATAAACATAAGTAAAATAGAATCTTTTTTTTATCCCCACCTTGGGTAAACCTTAGTCATCACCACACAGTTAAATTCAAGATTCTATCAAGAAATAGAAAACCTATTATATAGTAATTTTTAGTATTCAATATGAGCCTAGAAAACAAAGTTCATGTATAAGTTAAAAGTCAGTTGGAACACCTGAATAATATTCAAAAACATTCAATAAAGTACTTTTTATTTAACAAAAATAAAATCCCTGAACTTCTCTAAGAGCAATATGAAAGAGGTAGTATCAAGGAGGTGCAAACTAGATGGTAATCCATGAATTTTGCAGTGAATTCTCAGTGCAACAGAGAGAGTGGCTGTAAACACCTATCATTGTTTTCTTCCCCTTCCACAGAGACACTCAGTTTGTTGTTGTTTTGTTTTGCCTCAGCCACATTTGATCATGGTTATTTCCTCTCTATCATCTTATTCTCTGAGGCATTTGTGTTTTCTGTGAAATGTCTTTTTTTCTTGCATGTTTTTCTATTAGTTTTGTTTTGACTTGGGGTGGGGAGTCCTTTATTCTAAATACTAATTCTTTCTTGGTTATTGTATTGCAAATACCTTTTGCCAGTTTATGTAACTTGTAATTCACTATGGTATCTTTTAATGAACCAAAGTTGATAACATAATATAGATGAATTTATTAATCATCTCCTTTGTGTTTTGTACTTTTTGTTCAAGAAATTTTTCTGCACCCTGAGGGGAAGATTTTTTCCTTTCTTCCTACTAAATACCAGAGTTGAGATACAAGTTTCCTTCTGTGTCCTGAGCAGCAAGTTTATTTTTCATTCACTCTTATGCTGAGATTACAACCCAGCTTTATGTAGGGGTTCCCCCTTGGGATTTTCCCACCCTGAGCAAACCCTGTTCTTTGTCTTGTCTTCCACACCCCGTGCAGACAGAAAACAGATCTCAGAACAACATAGGCTATTAGGAAACTGAGGAAGCAGCATTCATAGCTGTTGGCTTCAGGACCACACTTTTTTTTATCCCTGTCCAGTGCTAGGGAATGCATCTCACCCTCGACAAAACTAGGAACTGGACACTGGAATCACTGTAATTTTAGCTTCAGAATAACTAAGTACTCCAAAACCAAGCTTGCCAGAAGAAACAGCACAAATACAGTTTTCGTGTCTGCTTTTATAATATTGAGCAGGTGTATCAGCTTGCTAGAAGCTATGTCATGGCGTGGAACTTGAGCTATAGGAAATCTAGGACATTTGAGCTTTAGTTTTCCAGCTACTGGCATGTACTAAGGCATGTGACAGGGAATTTGGAATGGAATTTTGAAACAATCTACAATGTCTACCCCATCTTCAAGCCTGAGAAACATGAAATGTGGGCAAACACCAAAATCAAAAGCAAAATAACAAAAACCCTAAAATCATAAAAATAAAATAACAGAAATGGTCTCCATTTGTGAAATCAGGGGTGGTAGGGGAATGTGGCCTCAATTTTAGTTTTTTAGTCAGTTTTGTTACTTTTGGACATGTCAAGTTTATGTGGCCTAGAGAACATGCAGACAGATTTGGTAGAGGCTGCTGGTTCTGTGGATATGGAATTCAAAACAGAGAACTGAACTATATGGTAGTTATCCCATATAAGTGGTGAGTGAAACTGTGAGAGTAGATAGATCACCAGAGTGTGCATAAAGTGAGAAAGAAGAGAGCCTAGGAACATTTAAAGGATGGACAGAGAAAAAGCTCACAAATTGGGGGAGCGAGTAGCAAGAAAGATAAGACTAAAAAGTAAGGCACCATATTATGAAAATCAAGGAACAAACATCTTCCAGAAGGCGGGATTGGTTAGTAGTAGTAAACGTTGTGGGGAATGTAGAAGACCAGGTATGGCCTTCAAAGTGCACAATTCTAGAGAGTGCTAGCCTGTGAAAGGTGCCCCCCCGATTTGTGCAGAGTTGGTATACAAACTATGACCATATGTGGAGAACCTGAATGAGACCTAAAAGTGCACATTAATTTTAGCTAAGAGGAGATCACTGGTCAACACTCATTGTAGTGTGAGAGTTGTAGGGCAGATACCAGATTCCAGTGAGTCGTGGAAAATGGAAACTGAGGAATGGTCCAACACTTACTGTAAAGCAGTGTAATTATTCGGTTATAACTCTTTCCATTATCAGGTTATGGAGTGTTTTGTCTCTGTAACACCATTGACATTACAGTGGTGGCCATAAATATGATCAATGAATGTTGAATTGATTATAGATTAACATTTCCTCCTTCACCTTTTGGGTAGATATTTTGCTCATTATCTCTCTGGCTTTATTATCTTTGCAGTATCTTTCCTACAATGGCTATAATATTGAAATAAATTATATTTTTATTATTACATTTTAAACATTTTTATGTTCTCTTAATGTCAACCTATATTCCATATTAGTCTTGCCACATGCTAGGGACTGCATTGTGTCTCCCTCCCCCCTAAAGCATATGTTGAAGTCCTAACCCCCTATATGACTATATTTGGAGATAGGTCTTTAGGAGGTAATTAAGATTAAATAGGTCATAAGGATGGGACCGTAATATGATAAGAGGCTGTGGCCCCAGCATGTGAGGACGGCTATCTGCCAGCTAAGAAGAGAGCTCTCACCAGTACCTAACATTCTGGCACTTTGATCACCAGAATTATAAGGAATATGTGTCTATAGTTTAAGCCACCCAGTCTATGGTGTTTTGTTATGGCAGACCAAGCTAAGACAAACAGGCCCTATATTAGGCACTGGAAATTCAAAGAACAGCAGAAGAAAGATGTTGTATCCTTGTGAAGCTTTCAAGATAGTGATCAATCATAACTGTTAAATTTTAGCTGTGTAAGCAGCAAAAGCAAAATGTATAGGGCGCCATAAGAATAGGATATAGTCAGAAGATTGGGCCTAGTTGTGAGGGGGAGGCTTTTCTAAGGAAGTGACTTGTATAGAGATAGAGTGATAAGGTGGATGAGTAGCAAGGGTGGTACAGCGGGGATAAGATTCTAAGCTTTGGGATCAGCATGTTCAAAGGTCCTGTGGTGGAGAGAATGTAGCATATCCGTGGAACTAGAAGATTTTTGTGATTGGAATCGAGAGATCAAAAGGAAATTTGGGAACTTTTGAGGCTAGAAAGATGGGTATTGGTTAGATCATTTATGGTCTTCTAAGCCAAATTGAGGACTTTGATCTTTATCCTAAGAGTTGGGAAGTCACTAAAAAGGAATCACGTGACCATTGAAATTCTGGTTATTGTATGAAGAGTAAATTAGAAAGGTAGCAAGAATGGTTTCAGGGAGACTCTCTGTCCTTAAGTGAGTCTCTCAATTTTTCTTATTCATTCTGACCTTTGGAGTAAAAAGTTTTCACCCTTGAAGTACTTTCTCAAAGTACAGATAGGAAAACTAGGCACTCTAATAGAATTTGATTCCTCTACATTTGTAACACTTTAAATATTTAATTAATAATGCTATTCCAAATGACATTTTTGTTACCTGATCTTTTCCCCGTAGTGTTTATAGTGCAGTAGTTAAATAATATAGTTGACTCACTTTTAACGAACCAGCTAAGGGCATGTTATTGCTAACATTGAAATGTTAAATGTTAAGCATCTTTCAAAACATTCCTGCAATAGATGACTGGATAAAGAGGATGTGGTGCATGTATACAATGGAATATTACTCAGCCGTAAGGAGAGATGAAATACTGCCATTTGTGACAACATGGATAGATCTTGAGATTATGATGCTAAGCAAAATAAGCCAGACAGAAAAAGTTGAGAACCATGTGATTTCACTTATATACGGGATATAAAATGAAAGCACGAATGAACAAGACAAACAAACTCAAATAGGTCAGTGGTTACCAGAGGAAAAGCGGGTAGAGGAGAGGAGATGAAGGTAGGGTCAAATATAAGGTGATGGAAGGAAACTTAACATATGCAATATACATATGGCATGTTATTGAACTGTACACTTGTATCATTTTATTAACCAATGTCACCCCAAAAAATAAAAATACAAACTGCACTACTGCATTCAGTCAAAAAAAGTTATATAATAATATTAAATTGTTTATGTCAACTTTTTACATTTAATCTGTTCTGCTTAATTAAAAATCTTAAATGTTATTAAATGATAAAAAGATAATGTATAACATTTGTAATTTTAAAATTAAAAAGTTCTTGTACACAGCAACTGAAAACATTTCAACCTTTAAATAAAGAACAAAATAATGCATTAGCTCCACCTGCTGCTTGAACAAATTATTTCATTTACAAAATATTTTGTCAACATTTTCCTAACAGCATTAAATGAAATTGTGAATTACTTTCTCTGCCCTTCCTCTTCCACCCACGTGATAAATTTGAGACATGAAAATCTGTCTAGTAGGGATTTTTAAAATCCTAATAATACAGTTTTTCAAAGTTTTAGTTTAATTTTTTTTCCGAGGAGATACCTCTTGTGTCACTATAAAGGCTTTAAATTCCTTAAATCAGGTTGCTTCCAAATGAATCATTCATCTTAAAATACATCCATTAGAACTTCTTTTATCACATATATTTGTTCGATTTTTTAAGTGCTTGTACATTTATATACTTAATTTACTATTTTATCTGTAAAATTATTTTGGAAATAAATGTCATGAATATCATAGGTTTTTTTCCTAAGGCTTTGTATTTGTAAATAAGGTGAAGTCGTTGGCATTCTCATTTATAACTGAGGTGCCTGTGTTTACCCTGGTTGTCTTTGTTT